TATATCTATGTGAATTTGAACTTGGACTACTCAGAAGAAGTATATATGTGCATTGTTCTCGGCCCTCTTATGTGTACTAAGAATACTCGGGGTGTGGAGGCACGGTGCATAACCTTAGTATAATCTTTAGCATAATCATCGAAACGAGAGCTTCTTTACTGCGCGTAGATACACATAAACGCGGGTAGCTGACCCGCCTCCGCAATGCTGCGCAACAAATAGATCATTGTCCACCGATAAAGCAGTCACCCTTCCCATAAAACGTGTAAGAGACAGCTGTTGCGTGAGAATGAGTCTTCCGCGGTACGCACGCATCGCGAAGGTGGGGGCGCCACGGGCTCACGGACAATCATGCCCGTAGAAGAATGTCTCGTTTCCTTTGACAAATTGATGTAAACGCTTCGCAAATTAAAAGTGACAGGGTGATTACTAGTCGGAGAAGACGCTATGCGGAAAGAGGCGTGTCATTCACATGACTACACCGCACCAACTCGGCGAATTCCGATTGCAAATGGACACACACGCCCATATTACAATTCAACAATCACACATTTCAAACAGTACTTATTTAATTACTGAGTATCTGAAATTGCAGCACTCTCGAAATAGCACCACAATATGCCTGAAAGAAGAGCTCGCTTGCATTCTCACAACGACCTCTCACAACATTCACGAGGTAGCAGTTCAAAACAGACGCATAATTGTTGCATCTCTCATATCAAAACGGCAAAAACATACGTGCAAATATCGCCACTACGAACATTTGGTAATTAGTAGAATTCGCAAATCGCACGAACTAACATCTTTTTGACACGCATTTTATGCGAGGGTCTTTAGTATCCCTATGAGTTTTCTCTGTGACAAGCGAATATATATATATATATATATATATATATTACTTCAAAGCTAAATACGCGTTACTTTCGCAATTGAACGTTTTAAGTAAATGGAACCTTACGCCTTACTTGTGATCACCCATGTGTCGCTCTTTCACCCGACTGAACATCAAAGCTGACCACCGTTTACATTGAGATACAGCTCCCTCTTGCAAACAGCAACTGCATGAGCACGCTCGAAATTCACACTCAGAAGCTGCATGGCCTGCTCGGTGCAGATAAATGGGCGCTAACCCGCTGGCGAAATGAGAAATTGTATCTCGCGCAGCCACTTTACCACCCATCACTGTCAACTGACTCAATGAAATCATACAAACAACATTTACTTCCATTGTGCAACGTGCAGAAACTCAAGAGTTCTATCCTACCATTACGAATTTGCGGACGCGGCCGTACAGCTGTCAAATAGAAATCTGTTTTCAACATGATTTTAGTTCCCAGACAATGAGCGTTGGCACCAGCTTTGCCCGGGGAGCAGCCCACATGACTACCACTTATGGATAGCAATCAACAACTGTCTGTAGCCAGAGAAATTAATATTGTCTCGCATCCCAGAGCAAGGAGTTTTAGTAAAATTAAAGCGCCACATTTTAAACGTCCATCAATAGTAATTAAAGAGGTCGAAACAGCATTGCGAAAATTGTTTACACTGTAGTAAGAAAACTTAGTTGCTAGATCGTTATGCTAGATAGTTTGTACTTAATTATTCCTTATTATCCTTAATGATAGAATCTAAACATTGTCATGCACGCTTTTAGAGAGCATAATCACCAATAAGCGATATTTTTTATTACGTCACATTACCCACGCAAGATAACATCTTCTTTTACTTTTTTTAACTAAAGCTTTTGTGGCTTACCATTGCGAACGACTCTCTTTAATTGTCATTTTGGATATTTCACCTTAGGGAAATGGCTGATAGCTCAATATGCATGAAAGCGTTCATTATGCGTATACAACTGTGCTCAAATTTAAACTAGCCAGCTTTAATTTATTCCTCTAACATTATACTGCAGGGTCTGTAATTAGAAAGATGCGTTTAATAAAACGCGTCCATCGTTCAATACTCCGCGTATGCTTGTAAAAATGTATTTCAGCGCGTTTATAGTTTGCATTTCACACCGTTTTGCTATTACATATATATAAGCGTTCATTACGATCTGGCACAACTAGAACCAACTAAATGCAAGAATACTTTTTGGGATATACGACTGAACAAGATCACCATTCACTGCATCTAGATACAATCCTGTGTTGGCTGTAACCCAACAAGAGTAGGGTTGAGTTACATTATTGTATCTACACTGCATCGTAAAACGCGCAATGCTAGTATGCAGTCGAACACTTACCTATTTCTCATTCATACGTCTCATATCCTTGGACGCTACACAACTCTCGCATACGTGCATGTAACAATCTGTAGTTGGAAGACCTGTATTTCGTGCAGATGTAAATTAGATATGCCGTAAAAAGGATCTTCTTCTCCAGGTGTAAACGCTGTAGTTCAATAAGAATAGTAATATGTATGTTTCCACATCTCTCTAACGAGCACTTTCGACAGATGTCTTCTCTTTTAACCAAACCTCCTGGTGGGTGAGCTTATAGCTGTCATTTAGAAACATACTTCCTGAATCTCATGACCATTGTACTTGCATCTAACTTCACGCACACAAAGGTACACGTTTTTCTGATCGCACAATTTACACGTAAGCAATTCGCGTGAATAATAAAACAACTTGTATCAGTATCAGGTATCAGCAGCAGGTATGCTGTTCAGGACCGGTGATCAGTACCGGTTACATGAAGAGGTTCCTACAGGTTTCTGTAGACCGCCTCTCTGAAGTTGTCAATAAACAGCTAGGTACGTAACAACGGGATATCTTTCGACCACAAAGTGCTGCACATGCAAATCCGCCGAATTCTGCGTGCTTTATACAAGAATGTTTATCCGTAGTAACACCCTTATATAAGTAGGTAGGCCTACGATCACTTGAAACACTTAATCGCATATACGTGAAAGTTTCGTTGCGGTGGATTGCAACACGCGTTTCCATAAAACAGCCGCACTCTTCCTAGTAGTGTAGGAATGGAATCACACAGTGACGTTTCACAGAGAGCTCCGTTCGACTTTCAACTCATATGCGAACGAGCATTTTGGGGAACAAAATTATTGTCAAGCCGATAAGATCAAACCACTGCATCCTCGCCAATAAGTATCGAAAAGTGATGATCGTCACAAAAGTTAATGCACCACTCGGTCAATTATTTCGGTCGATGACCATTTCCTATCAAACCCGCTCTCCGAACAGACAGGTATTACAATGTAAACTCAATTTCGCTGCATTCGACTGCACGACTCCATGAGATGATACACATAAGTAGTATTAAGTACGCGGCAATCCGCATCGGTAAGCGCATGTTGCCACTATCGTATTGAGCGAGACTGCTGGACCATGTCACGGCGTAATAACTTTATACTCGACTGCTAGTTAGTCCTGCCAGACCGAACTAGCTCTGTGCTGAGCCGTTGCTTGCTCGCACCGGTGGCACCATCTAGGTTGACTGCGCGAAAACACTTGCAATTCGCTGTATGCGCAAATCGATGTGCGTGTATGATTCTGCTCGTCTATTCATTAGCACCTAGCTGTACATCAACACTTTTCACGAAGAAGAGAAACGAGAATTACCGAATATTTACCATGAGTGGTAAAAATTTAAATGCCATTATCCGTGTGATTTATCATGAGCAGTTTCTGTATTCCTCTGCTTCCATTTCCTTTGTGACATTGTTACTGGTAAACTTCCAATACGATTTAAACCAAGCTAGTTCAATAAAACTGCAATTTTTTACAAAAATAAATGCACAGAAATCCACTTGTTACATTCATATACCGGATACCGTTTAATTATTAGAGCATTATACTTCCTTTTTTAGGGGGGTGTCAAAGAAAGACGATTTAATTATTAAAATTCCCCGACTGATCACTTGTGGTACTTATTAACAAAGAATCTTTAATAAAACGAGTTTAAAACTAATTACAGTATAATAAATATAAAGGTAAATTATAAATAAATAATAATAAAGGTAATAATAAAGGTACAGCGTGTAAAAAGGAGTAAAAAATAGTACTAAGTAGCTCGCATAAAGTGCATCTCACGGAGCTACTCTGTGCGCTAGCGCTTTTCGTGTACAGACGTTATTGCACATTAATTTAGTCTGGCGTGTCGAATATGGGAGGAACACTAACAAAGCATGCGCCGACGAAATGTGCAGGCAATGACCTAAAGCAAATAGGAAATCCTGTAGAATGTTGTATACATAGTAAATAATAACGCAAATGGTCATAGCGCAATAACCTATTACGACAATATGTTACAAATTTAACCAAACGTTAACAAATATATGTTGCCACGCAGCCCTTCATAGTCTGGAGGCTTATGCACGTATCAGAGCCCAAATCTGCAAATTATGAAAGACATTTTTAAGGGTCAAATCTGGGTTCATATTTTCCTAAACATGAATTTTTTGATGAGTCAGGAGGTTATGCACATTTATCTGCAAAATTATGACAGACTTTTTTGAGTATCAAATCTGGGTTCATATGGTCCTCAACAAATACCCCTTTTAAGAATTTTTTTGAGGAGCCCAAAAATTTGATCCCGGGAAACTCCCCCCCCCTCCCCCCTATGGGCCCGTAAGGAACCGAAACTGTTAATTTGCCGTATCTTTGCCTTTCTTGTGGTCGATTTGAGCAAAGTTAGTCGATTTTGTGGTTTTAAACATTGAGAATCGATTGGGCGTGGTTTGGAACCTAAATTTGTCATATATTTTTTGCATTTTTCTTTCAACCAAGTGGTCATTCACACTCTGAGTGTTTTATTTCCGCGCAACGCCGGGATTTCCTGCTAGCATATTTATTTATTTATTTTATTATATTATTATATATATTATATTATTTATTATTATTATAATATATTTATTACTTTATCTTATTTATGGCTCCCAGCTCCACTTTCTTTCCTGTGTTGGTTTCACCACTGTCTTATATATATACTAACGTGCTAGAATCTGAGGCGAGGAGAGAGAGAGTTAACAAGACGTTGCCCTGCGACTTGTACTTTTTAATTCAATGTTTCCACCTGCTTTAAATTCCCAAAGAAATTGTTCATGTCCATAATCCAAATCTGATGTAACTTGCCTGATGCCTATGAGGATTCGATAGTAAGCGAGCTTTTCAAGAGATGACTGGGAGAAGAGTTCGTATTGGTTGGCGATCATTAGTCGAAAATGATGAAGGAGGTAATCATTCAGTTGGCCTCACCGGCTTGGAGTAACAGTTATACATGCAAGTCTGTCTCGAAGGAACAATCCAAATACATTGTACACAATAAAATGTCCCCTAATGCCCGTCATCTATGACCAAAAGTAACACATGTTGAGTATCTGCAATATCACCTCATCGAAGATGGCTGTGGATACACACAGTACCTTAAATCCGGGTCAGGTCGCAAGATCGCGATGTTCAGATCAGCCATTGTATGCGCTAAAAGAAGACTATTCAGCGTTCATGTCCTGCAAGCCTTTTGGTGATTCTCACTTTGACGATTTAATGGGCTGGCCTGCACATTGAACAGGCTGCCGCTGGTCTGCATGGCCAGCTCCTCAAAGGGGACAGGGATGGGGAGTATCGTCACCCCGGCCTCGACTTGACACCTGTGAGGCTTACTACGGCATATGTGATATTTCAACACATTCAAGAAAGTCGCGTTACACCGTCTTGCAAGTGTTAGCTGTAGGTCTTGGCGCCGGTCCATGCAGACGCGTATGAAGCTGTTTTCGAAACATATGAGGACATCACAATTTCAGAGTGGTCACGAGTCACAAGGCAACCCTAATTGTTCAAGCTACTGCGATATCACAAATTGTGCTGCACTACATTCAAGGTGGTCCTCATGATTGTGTGGGCTTCAGATGAAGCTAACTAACAACTTGTAATTGTTGCACGCGACTCGATTGCACCCTTATTTTTTTTTCGCTAGACCATACACATTATGCTCGCTGGGTCTCTGTGTTCATATAACGATTCTCAAGACTCTTCCAATCAAGGTCCCACACTGCACAGGAGATTTAGGTCCGGGATTATTTTGTTGTCAACACAAGAGGAAATGCATTTCTCTTAAGATGGCCGCTGCCGACCAGCATAGACACACAACACAAGAAAATCAAAATCAACGGCTGAAGGTACATTGATCTCGTAAATCGCGGGACAAAGAATATCTTGTATAGCGTGACTCTGCCTGCCAGAAATGCACCAATATTTGTCTGCAATAGAGGCGCCTACATATAGCTCAGGGTTCACAAGGCGATTCACCCCTTTTCCATTTAATCCGCAAGTTCCATAATCAGAATGTCGAAAAAGTTCACAGTAAAATTCTTATCAAATCTATTTACCTTAAGAATTGTTATTGAAGACTGGAATTCACTCATATATCTTTCCCAGAGAACATTTGTTGATGATGCAGGAAAGGGTGCTTCACAATTGGAGTGCAACAGTACGACGAGTTTCGTCGCACTAGATTCGTCTATGGAAGTGAAGATGTTATCAAATCAAAGGTAACAAAAAACATGCTGAAGCTTCCAAGAGAACCCTCGCATCAAGGTCACCCAGCAACTGTTTAACAAATTGAGAGATGCTTGCAAGAACCGTTAATCGGAGACAAAGAAACTTTTCGAGGGGGAGATAACCGGATTACCTTAGTGCTTCGTCAAAAAGGATAGATCCCCTTATCACAGTTCAAAGTCACAGATTTTGGCTGACATCACCGAAAACGCGGTTACACCAAGTCCAACAAATGTCAAAGGTCTCGTTGCTGACCTTTCAGTGATCATCCGAGCGCAGGCTGCAGTCCTTCCAGAGGGGTCAACCTTCAATAAATTTGTCTCCAGGGTCCTGCAAAGCATTGAGAACACTGCCACAAGCCTGGGCACGTCTCGAATCGATATTGTAGCAGACCAGTATAACCCGTTAAGCATCAAGAGCCCCACCCGCTCGGAAAGGAAGTCCAAAGGTTCAGGACAGCAAGTTAACTTTACTGGTGATAGCACTGTCCCGAAGGATATGTCTAAATCCTTTCTCACAGATGATCAGAACAAGACCAGACTTAATGCACTAATTGCGGAAAGCTGTGGTAACCCATCCTCCTGGTCCTGGAAGAAAGATTTCTGTGTCACTAATGGTCTTGGAAATGTTCTAACGAATGCTGGTGAAAAGACTATATACATGCCAAAGATGGAAACCCTAGAAGAGGCGGACAACAGGATGGTGTGCCATATAATTGACATGTTGGCATGTGGTTTATCGCGATTGACTGTACGGACAGTTGATTCGGACGTCATTGTCATTCTTCTCGCCTTTATGCCCCAGTTCCTCAAGATCGACCCTGACTTTGAGCTTCATGTTGATTTTAACTCTGGAAAGAACAGGAAGAACATTCATGTCAATGTTTGTTATGAGTCACTAGGGGAGG